CTTTCATATTTATTTACATCACAAAAATCCACAATTTTAACAGGAGGGTGTAGACTTTTTTATTCCCACTGTATAAGAGTGACTGGGGTGTGATCTGTGTACCACTGATTACTATACATATGTATATATCTGTAAATCTAAGAGGTAAAAGGCATTTTAAAAAATAGTAAAGGGCCTGACAGCAACCTACAAGCATATTTCAGAACATTAATACAATATTTACAGCAATTTAGAAAATTCCATTTTAGCATGTCCCAAATATACCTTTAAATATAATCGTTTGAATACTTCACTCAACTCTGTTACCTGAACACTTTCACCAGGCTTGTGCAATACTGATTTTTCCCCGCTCGCCATTTACCATTTTAAAAAAATCACGATAAATGATTTAATAATATATATTAATAAGAAATAATAATATTTTCAGAAGTCAGGAACTGCTTGTTGGCAGTGGCACTCACGAAAACTAGATAGTGTTTTTTTTAGGCTATTCTGCAGTAAACAGTAAAAACCACAACAAAACATTTTCAATATAATCCTTTTAGCGAATGTTAACTACGTACTTGTCTAAAGTTTAGCCAAACATACACTGATGTAACTTCATGTTATATATTATGTTACACATTAATGTACTCGACATAATCTCCATTTACCTTGACAGAAAGTGAGGAGCGAGTCCAGACTAGAGCATGTGAGATGGGGCGAATGGGGTGTGGCTTCCACTGAAGTATCAATATCAGTTAATAGTGTTCAAAACACCTGTGAAAATCATTCCAAAATTCATCTGCCGATTGTCTCATCTCCCATTTTATTGGGGAGAAAAAGACTGCTCTTTTGGTATATTTTTAGTGATAACTCATACTAGGATATACCAACGTTAAAGTAGAGTATTAAAGGTTGGCAGGTCTTGTAACATAACATAATGAGACTAAATGTCACTGAATAACATGGCAGTGTAAAATCGTGTCGAGATAATTAAACTACTATATCAAACAAACCTATTCACCCCTATTAAATATTTGGAATTTTCCACAAGTCACATATTCAACAGGAAGTTACATTATCCGAATGATCATGGGAAGGTCACTCTTATTTTCAGTGACTGTGATCTTGATTGATGAGGACAATTTGAAAGTATAACAGAATTACCAAAATTATAGACTGAAAATAAATGAATGGGTTTTTTTAATTAAGTAAATCTTTTCAACGTCCTCAAAGCCTTCATGCCATTATTATGCGTGATTTCTAATTCTATGCTAAAAACTCAACGCTGTTACTTATTTAAGATTCAAATGTAGCCACTGTCAGCAAAAAAACAAAACAAAAAAAAAGTGATATTGTTGCCTGAGATGGGTTAACACATTTTTCAGTGTTACAAGGGCTAAATGGCACCCCATCAGTGGACTCACCCATAAACCAAGAGTGGTGCAGTTTAATGTATTTGGCAGGAAATCAAATCATGCTCTGTAAACTGCATGCAGCATACATATTGCAGTGCATCTTGGGACATGTTCTGTGAGACTGTGGTGAGGTTCACAAACTTATGACTGCTTCCTTGCAAGTGCATCGGCATCAGAAATAGGGACTTTGGCCCTGAAATACTGTTAGCGTTCATATTTTGGACCCGGTATTGCACTTCGCTGTACTGCATCTCAATATGAAACAAGCCACCTTCTCATCGGAGGCAAAGACTCCTGGGCATTGTGGTTTCCTGCTGACACACGAGTGCCGAGTTTGAAAAATGAAGTCACTTGTGGCCAGCATAAACATGGACCTCTCAGGGGAATGCAGCAACATGAACAGTTTGCTTTATCTACACTGGTCTGCTTTTGGAGCTGGCCAAGATGATCCATGCCAGGTTCTAATCTGTCAAACTCTCCTGCATATACAGCTCTACACTAACGTAGATTCTATTTTACATACAATTTAATTGGGCCTCATGAGGAGTATCTTCAGTCGAGAGTCCATCCTCTACTGAAGAGGCGTGTACTCTCTGTGTAGTTGGAAAGCCTTGAAGCAACACAACTTTAGCAACAAAATTAGAAAATATGTGAGGAAGAGAAAGTAGCTGCATGAAAGGGTAGGAAAAAGGGAACGATTAAAATTATGAGTCATAATTGTATGGTGGCCTGCAAAAACCCTTCATATGGTCAAAAAGCGACATTTTCTAGTATACATCATTCCTTTTTCCTCAACCGAAATATATTTACCTTTTTGCATGTATTTTAAAACACATCAGTCCAATGCCAGGAAAGACACCCTACCTATTTCTACATTTATAACCTAATCTACTTATGGGAAAAAAACATTACTGCCAAATTTTAAAGAATTATAGGTTTAGAATGGGAATGAGTTATCACTTTAGATTGTCAGCATCATCCACATCTGTCTTATCATCTGAGGTAAAAGACACTCGACTGATCTCTGTTCCTGCTAACATCAGTGGGGAAATAATCACTGATTAATTCAGTTCAGCTCTATTTTTTTTTAATTTCTTGTTTTAAGGTCATTTAGACATTTTTCCACTGTCATTTGTACAGAACGTGTAGTACAAGTGCTCTTCTCTGTATCAATGATGTAATGGCACAGGAGCACTGTAGACAGCTAGTATCTGATTACACACTGAACTGATCAGGCTTATGTCTGCTTCACTACGGTATGTAGGCTACCTGTCCGAAAGCTTGAACAAATTGTGCACACTTATGTACCAAGGTTTTAGAAATCTTTCTGCAGACTGACTGCATTTACAGCTGCTGGCTCCTTACCCAACAGGATGTCTGCAGGCAGAGAGCCAAGGCAAGGTTAGAAAGGATCCTAAATAAAATCATTTGCCTGCCTGTTTGGTAAAGTATATTTATGTTTCTTTTAAGTAGAGGTCTCAAAGTATATTACTGGCAGAAAAACTCTATTTCGGTCATTTTGACGGGCTTTCGCAAACCACCAAACAATTAATCCTCATACAGATTCAGTACGTGCTAATGGATCCGTCCTACCTCGTGCTCCTTCACACAGCTAATGCCAGCATAATCGATGATGCAGCGCCCCAGCCACTCGTCAGGCCTGACACTAACAATGTCAGTTCGGCAACGCTCCAGGAAGGGCTTAAGCTTCAGCAATAAGGCCCTGGACAGGAGGAAACCTGAGCCTCCATGGCAGTACCTTCCCTGGGCTTCACCTCCAATGAACTCCCCTGGGTGGCCCATGTACAACTGGAGGTCCATGCTCAAGTGGCCCACCAGTGTCTTCAGTCTGTCAGGCTGGATGTAAGTGTCATCCTGAAGTATGTAGAACCAGTCATACTCTGCTACATGGTGCTCCAAGAGGTACTGCACCGACTGGAACATGTTAGGCACAGGATGCTCGTGACCGTGGGCCACCACAAACATCCCGTGAGGGACTTTGCGGTTGTGAGAGCTGGTGAAAAAGATAAGACGGCCATCCAGGTGGTGATTCAGGGTCCTGTTAACTGCCACGGCAAATGTGTTCAAGCTGTTTTTGGATGTCATAACTGCCACGAAGAGACGCTCATGAATACCCAGCTCCGTGCTGGCATACTTGGCTCTAAAGAGAGTAAACAGGAAAAGAAAAGAAAAAAAAAAAAAAAAGAGTTGCATAAAATTTACATTACATTAAAAAAATAGGTTGGCATAATGTCTTAGCTCATAAGGATAACATCTTGTTTCTATGTGTTATCTAATTAGATTAGATTAAATAGTTTTCTCACTGCAAACACTAAGAATCATGTTGCTGCCTAAAGACTTTGGGACAAATTTATCTTAAATGGCTCCACAGACGGAATGTTTTTCTTCCCTTATTAGAGCTCTTTATTCCACCTTTAATTTAAGCTAACAACATTATTAGAACTCCAATAATCATAAGGCGTCTGGTATAAAAATACACTCCTGGGCAAATAGCAAAATGGGCTAAGCCCAAAACAGAAAATGTTAAGCTTTTAATGTTAATGGTCTTAACAACAAATCATTGTTCAGAAAATTAGCAAGAATTAAACAAATGCACTCCTGAGCGCTCCTGCGCCACCATTTGCCCATTTACTTTTGCTGCAGTGAACTGTTTGGGGAAAACAGGGAAATTCATTTATATAGTCTTCTTGTACACAAAGATAAGATCATGATAATGATTAAAATGTTTGATGTCAAATTCAAACTAACTCATGTCCAGGTGTACAAAATTTTCCAAAAATGTCTTCTGGGATGTTTTTTTTTTTTTTTTTAAACGATTAGTCATTATTTGGTTATCTGCCACATGTAGCCCATCAAGGGCCACAAGGCTTAAATATTTAAGGAAATCAAAGGGAAAAGCTCCCATACTAACTTCCTTTATCTGTTTGTTTAATTCTTGCTAAATTTCCTGACCAATGAGTTGCTGTTAAGACCATTAAAAGCTGCATATTTTTCCATTTTGGTCTTGGCCCCTTTTTTTTGCCTATGAGTGTAGAAATAATCAAGCGTATCCTCTGCCTGAAATGTGATCACTGGGAAGTGAACCAACAACTTGGTGTACAACAGGATGCTGAGCTCCTTTTAATAACAGGAGTGAGAGCAGACATCAAAAGCGTTAGATCAGATGTCTTTAATCATAGCAGTGTGAGAGACCCAAGGGATTGTTGATGCTTGCAGAAAACAATATGCCATGTCAAGCACTAATGTATAAACTGGCTGTGGAATAAGAGAGCACAGATGTGGCCTTTAGGCTGTGGCAGACGGGCGTGGACTCTCCAAAACAGTGATTGGCATTTAGACTCGGCTTAGAGATTGTTCTGAACTGCTGAAATGAACATTAGTTTTAATCCAGAAACAAAGCGCAGGTTAACGTGCTGACCCCTAGTGCATCACACAATCATGCTCTTATACTGGCACTATTTATGGCTAAAAAAAAAAAATAATAATGTCCGCTGCTTGATTATATAGTACTGACGACTATAGTTATAACTTATAATGCAGTGTAATCGCATTAAACAAGAAAAACACGACAACTGAGACTGGTAGTGCTGAGATTTGAACTCACGACCTATCGACCAATAGTCCACCGTCTTACCCACTGACCTACCGCTTCCCCTCGTACACAACCGTAAAAGCGCTACTTATGCCTACCTAAAAACTTTCTTCGGCGGCTCTTCCTGGGCGGGCTTGTTGTACGGCACTATTTTTGGCTGGAATTCGTCCTCCTCGGCGTTGCCCGTTGCTATCGAGCTCGGTTTGCGCGCTCCCTTCGCACCTCCCGGCGCAGCCACCGGCGCCTCCTCGGTCACACCGACGGCGCCGTAACCGCAGCTCTCGTCCACCCATGTGACGCTGAGCAGGCTGAGAGTGAAGCCCAGAGAGATGCCTACCACCACCGGGCCGATCGGCCTCGCCAGAGAGATCAGCGTCGCAATCCGCATTGCTGCCTGGCCTGTCTTTCTATCGCCCGCTACTGACACGGACAACCAGCTGCTCTCGGAGGAGAGAAAGCGCCCGATACAAAGCCTCTTTTCTGAGCGCTTCGAGGACAAGACGACGTCTCCGCTTGTTTAGTGACGTGTCACTGCCCGGAGCTCCGCCTCCCCGCTGACGTCACCAACACGCGCTGCCAGCTGACGGAGGCGCGGAGTGTTTTGGAGTAGCACCATCTGCACCAGGCTGGTGTTAACCCGTGTTTAGCGCTGATCTAGCAAGGCACCAAGGAGAAAGGCGGAGAAAAAAAATGGAGTGAGGAGAAAGTATGAGAGGATGGATGGATAATGGATGCAGGAAACACCCTACAGCTATAGTTCTTGGCCAGAGTTTGGTACTTGCCCATGTAAACCCTGCAAAAGCATGCTAAGGGTATAATACAAGACAGAAGTTATTGTCGAGCGGGTGATCCAAGACCTCCTGGGCCACATCTGGAGCTGTGATAGACCATTTTGTGTCTGCTAAAGTTGTATCTTTGTTAGGATTGCCTTGCACTGAAATCAGATCTAATGCTGCAGAAAAATGTTTGAAAAGACAGTATGACTTGTTAAATCTCCAAACTGACACAATCATAGCTGTTATATGTTCTGAAATAAGAATAAGTCTTGACAGGAAAAAAAAAAACTCTCAATTTAAAGTGAGATAATAAAATTAAAAAGCAAAGAAAAGTAGACATGATTCCAATACATCAAAAGATTATTTTAAATATGGCATTGAGGATTAAGAAAAAAAAAATGGCCTAAACTAATTAAAATATGCATCCCAAATGACCAATCCTGTCATTAACAATGTTTTTTTCTTTTCTTTTTTAACATCGTCTTCAGAATACGTAGATTGTCAATACTTTGAGGGTTTCAGAAATGTATCGCGTGTTGGGAATTTTGTTTTACTGTTCGCGAGAAAGCTTAGACAATGTTCAAAAAAATTAAAAAACTACCAATATATCTGAGTTCATGTACATGGTTCCATTGTAAAGTGATGTTTCAGTCAAAACTGCTGTTGAGTAATGCTGTGTGGATCTTACTGCGTTTCTAAAGCACCTTAAGAAAAACAGCTTATGTTTACAACCCCACAACGGTATTTAACAAAGAGGATTCCACGTAGAGCTCCTTTAGGAATCGAATAACCCTTAACTATTCACAGAATCCGTGAGTGTACTGTTATCTATAAAAATAGGCAGAAAGATGTCACAACTTTATGAGAAATGAAGCCAAAGCCACTTTTTTCTTCATTGGATACTTTCATTATTATGGTTGGAGGTGTGGCAGAGTTCTGTTAGTAGTGATTCAGATGATTTCTATAAAAAGGTCACCTAAAATCAGCAGTTTTATAGCAGCTCTGTTGCTCTGCCAGTGTTAAAGGCGTGTAAAATAGGGTTGAGTTAAACATTTCTATTCTCAGCAAAATCCCCAGTGCTGAATAAACGCCCAGTATGTTTATATAAAGTCCAGCTGGACCCAAATGAACACTGTATAAGGATTGGGATTTTGCCCTGTAGGAGTTTTTTTTTTTTAAAGTCTGACTTTCTTCATAACATACAAGTTCTTCTTATTTTTACTGTAGTGCTCTAGCACAAGTGGTTGCTGGATATTTTAAATGTAATTAGACAATATACACTGGGCAGAAAGTGTAAATGTGTATGTAAATACACTATATGGCCAAAGGTATGTGGTCGCCTGACCATGACATGCATATGTGGGGCTTCCCCAAACTTTTGCCACAAAGTTGGAGGCACATAATTATTATACTATAGTCTAGAATGTATTTCTCCGCTGTAGTGTTAAGATTTCCCTTCACTGGAATTAAGCGACCTAGCCCAAACCTGTTCCAGCATGACAATGCCCCTGAGCATGAAGCGAGCTCCATAAAGACATGGTTTGCCAAGGCTGGTCTGGAAACACTCATGTGGTTATACAGAGGCCCTGACCTCAAACCTACTGAACACCTTTGAGATGAATTGAAACTCGACTGTGCCTGACCTCACTATTGCTCTTGTGGCTGAATGGACACAAATCCCCACAGTCACGTTCCACAATCTAGTGGAAAGCCTTCCCAGAAGACTGGAAGCTGTTATAGCAGAAAAAGAGAGACTAACTCCATATTAATGCCATGGCTTTGGAATAGGATGTTCAGCAAGCACATATGGGTGTCATGATCGGGTGTCCACATAATATAGTGTATGTTTTGCCTCCTCTTGTGATCGGTAAATAAGGACATGGAATGAAAGATGACTAGTTATTTATAGTCAAATCAAATTCCGGTTATCCCAAACATGGCAAATTAAGCTGCTTAGAAGATAACGATGTGCTAAATAATGAATAGTTTAGAAAAACTAGCATTAACGAAATATTAATGTACCTAAATTACTAGTTAAAGCGCTGTTGAATTCTTAAATCTGATTGGTCAAAAGGTGTTGCTTAATTAACAGCAGCTGTGACAATAGCTGCTATAAGTTATGTACAACATGCTGTTCATTAACACAGTAAAATGTAAAATATGTAAATAGTAGCAAATTGCTGTCATATAAGTGGAATAAAAGACTTTGGGATATGCTGTTATTGGCAAATTAGTAATTCTGGGGTAGTAATGCATCAACACGCTTGATCATTTTCCCATAACAGCACGTTCCGTTGTGTTTTATTCCTTACTTATCATTCAAGATTATTATGCAATTGAATGCATGTTTTAAAAGTCTGTGAAGCCCCTCCACCCATGGAAAAAGGTAAGTGAGCAACATGTGAGGTTATTAAGTTAAAAAAAATTGATTTTCTTGTGTCTCAATTCTCAGGTAGGCTACTGGTTATTTGCACCACCTAGTAATGTTCATGTGAGAAACGTTAGGAAACCTAAGGCCATGTGGTTTCCAACTCCTAAAGTTCAACTTCCCTGTAATTTTCTTGTTTTCTCTGGTCTAACACACCTGACCAACTAATCAGCTAATTAACAGGCCATTCTTGAGTGTGTGTTAGAGCAGGGAAAGCACTAAAACATGCAGGACACGGATACTCCTGGACCATGCAATGACAGTTTATAGGCACTGGTCATTAAAGGAGGTTTTACCTTAGTCAGTGGGAAGACTTTGACCCTGCTCTTTAGTGCTTAAGACGTATATTAAAAATAGCTTCCTAGGAGAAGAGATGCTGCTACTTATTATCCAATTTAATACACACACATACACACGGTAGCTACCCCTAATATTCCCCCTTCATACCGCTAACTCTAATCTTAATCTCAGTAACAAAACATTCATTTAGTTGTTCAATTAAAACCTTCATTTTGTAGCTCCGTTGTATTACTATCATTATAGAGACATTTGGTCCTCACAATGGACTAAAAACATGCCTCGACATATCACAGTTTTCAAATGCACAAGCAAGCCTTTCTGTCCACCTTCTTTCTGACTTTTTTTCAATGTAGGCCACATCTGGTCCCTCTTTCCTCCCCTTGCCACTGGCTGATTCTTAGGAACTGCAAAACCTTGTCAGAGCGGTGATCCCACTGCCAGAGGGAAACCTCCTTCTGAGTGCTTGTTATAACCATTATTAAGATTTATAAGGGGCATTTATTTTACACGTGGCATTGTGAGGTCTTCTGTAGTGTCTCATGACTGCAGTACTCATACTCAGTGTACTGTAGTTTCACCTTTTTTCCTCTTAAAAGTTTAATGGAATGCATAAAATGCTTATTAACTAAATGAGTGAAATCAACTGTGGGAGATTAAAAAACAATAGAAATAACAGCCTCAGTGTTCCTGGAGAAGGTTGTCCCGTTCTTATCAATCAACTAATCAAATAATCAAAGTCATATGACGGACAAGACAGGAAACCTGTTACATTTTACCATGTCAGAGGTTGTCATCTGGTGGACTTACAAGAAAATACTCAGAAAAGTATTTCACCAGACTAAACTCTGCACTCGAAAAATACTGTAGTGGAACCTATCTATGTAGTCTATGAAAAAAATCCTGGCTGTAGTTCAGCAACTCCAGTTTCCGTAGCAGCTCCTCTGTTAGAGCTTATCCAATCAGATGCATTTATGTAAATGATTTAGCTGAAGGCAGCTCATCTGACCAGAGAGAGCTAGAGAGGTCAGAAAGGGATGATGAATGGACAGAGATGTATGCATTTATCCCTCTTGCGTCAAATTTAAAACAGATGTGTCTCAGAGTAGAGGGGTGCATTAGAACAACACGAGACATGGGAGTGGGTGTTTTTTACTTTAATACAGGTGGTTAGATATGACAAA